GAATCTGCCAAGTAGACAGCAGTTTCGCCGCATGCTAAAATTTGGCTTTATTCACGGGTTGGGCCACCAACCGGTACTAAAAGGCCTCTAGTCCCGGTTGGAGGCCCAACTAGGGCCTGAAGGCCCCAACCCTACATATACTCATGTTTTCTCTTCTTCTTTCTCCTTTCAAGCGCTGCCGGATCCACACCGCCAGCCCCGCCGTGCGTCGCCCGTCCGACCTCGCCCTCTTCTTCGGCTCGCGCGGCGGGTCCTCGTCCTCGTCCTCCGCTCCGGCGCGCACGGCAGCGCCCACGTCCTTGTCCTTCGTCGGCCGGCCAGCGTCCTCGTCATCAGCTCTGGCGCGCGCACGACAGGCCCTTGTCATTGTCTCCCCGGCGCGCACGGCGACGCCCTTGTCCTCATCCTCCGGCGGCCGGCCGGTGTCATCCTCGTCCTCGGCTTGCTCCAGCGCGCGCGGCGCCCTCGTCCTCCTCTCCCGTGCGCGTGGCGGCTCCATCGCCCTCCTTGTCTCTGGCCAGTGCCTTCGCGTCTCTCACCTCGCCCTCATCTCCGGCAGCGCCTTCGTCTCTGGCCTCGACATCGTCTTTGCCGGCTCCTTCTTCGTCTCCGGCCTCGGCCTCGACCTTCGTCTATGGCCAGGTGGTAATACTCGTTGCCAACCCCTTGTCATCCCTTTGTGCTGTGTGAAACCCGGCTTGGAAAGATGTTGAATTTTGATACATAGGGTTTATTGATGTAAATTTTGGTATATATAGACTTATAAAAAAATTGACTTTAGTGATATACATATATGAATTTTGATATATTGACGTGTTATGCATTTTGATATATTGACTTTAGTGATATGAATTTTGATATATAAGGTTTATTGATGCGAATTTTGATATATATAGACTTATAAAAAAATTGACTTCAGTGATATACATATATGAATTTTGTTATGTTAACTTTAGTGTTTATGCATTTTGGTCTATGATAAATATTGACTACAGTTATTTGAATTTTGATATTTGTAGACTTATGAAAAAATTTTGACTTTAGTGATATGCATTTTCGTGTATGAAAAATATTGTCTTCGGTGATATGATTTTTGATATATTGACTTTAGTGAGAAGTGATGGTTGGACGTCGTCTCCCTCCGCCGGAAGATATAGGTTTCAGCGGCTATGTAACGTGGATGGGATTCGATCCAGTGTTGCCCGATATACCATTTAATCATCCAAGTGTAGTAAGCAACTCTATATGTTTTCAATAAATTAATGTGTCAAATACGCTTGTATAAATATATTTTCTGATATGTATATATATATGTGATTCTTAAATGTACCATAGGTAATTGACCCAATTATTTGGCTTAAAGAGACACTCTCAAATATCAGGGTTCAAGAAGTGGTTGTTCAGACCTTTTATGTAGATAATGGTCCATTAATCCAATGTCGAATTGGCTTTTCCATCGCCGCTAGAAGGGGTAGAGGCGTTGTACAAATCTCAGAGATGGGAATAAGGGCACCCCAACAGACTGTTACACAAAACTATGTTGTCATTGCATGTGTAACTAATCTTGCGAATATTTGGTACACCCTGCCTACACTATCCTCCGTGCTAATACAAGCTATAATTGCGGACATGCGTCATGATGTTGTGGGCTTTTGTGCAAGCATTGCTCCGAACAACCGAAATGATGTGGTAAAGTCGAAGTCGAACTCATAGCTTATATCTGAATTTGTTGTTATATGTTGCAAAGTTTGGTTCTCATAACCTTTTCTTCTACCAACAATTACAGGTTGAGAACTATGATTTAACCTACAAAGGGTGCAGTTTTGAAGCCATTCTAAACCAGAAAATGTATCAATTGGGTTATGATTGAAAATATGCTCATGAATGGCCAACACTCACTATGGAAGGATTTCAGACAAAGCTGCTTGCGACTAAGAGGGGAGACCCACCGACTTCTCGAGCACCGTTAAACGTCGTTAGTAGACCTTGTGCTCATAGTTGTGAAGCAGGGGAGAGTCCACTAGTTAATGCGTTGGTCTTCATCAATGATAATTTTGGATACCACATTGATGACCTACACTTCACTGAATTGAAAATACGAGAAAGTCAACTTCATTAGGTAGTAGTGGTGACATACTATGTTTGCATGAACTTTGGGGAGTACTTGGACATGTAGTGTGTAATGACTTGGTTTAAATTTATTATGGTTTGTATCAAATTTGATTATGGGATGGATGATTATTGTAATATACAACATCTTACTTAATTAGATTCACTCTTAATATGTGCGTACAATATTCAATGCAAAGAAACTGTAAAAGAAAAGAAAAAAGAGACATTCAGTACGTGGCAGCGCCTAGGCCTGGGCTAGAGCTGTCTTTACTCCCAGTTGGTATTACCAACCGGGATTAAGTCCCAAATCAATCTTGGTTGAGGAGACCGGGACTAAAGCCGGACCTTTAGCCCCAGATTGGCAGTCCCGGTTGAAAAACCATGACTAGAGGGGGTTTCCTAACCAGGACTGAAACCCACTCCTACACTAGTGTTGTCCAGCACTAGTGTTGTAATGCTATCATGAGGCTCAACCTCACTAAAAGATATTTGTCCATATTTCAAAATCAGAGAGACAGAGACACTGCAGGACAATATTTAATTTACTTGTAATTCGAGTTGGGATCCAGCGACTTTCAAACTAAAGCTACTTGATGAGAGTCATGCATGTCATAAAATAGTGCCTCCGATTAATTTCGACAAGGAAATCAAAGCGCCAAATTGATGGCCACCTATGACCATAGTCCAGCGGCAGAGTCAAAACTTAGTTTAGGAGAGACAAATGTCAATGGGAGTCTATTTACTCTTTTTTTGCGAATTGGGAGTCTATTTACTCTTTAATTACATGGTGGATTAGTTAGATCATTAAAGTGTATAATGGAAAACATCAAAGTTAGACGGTGCCGGCCCCACCTCCCTGGCTTCGTCAGTGCTGTAGCCATATACTACACAAGTTGTGGACCCACTTGCCTCAAATGAGCATTTTGGCAATGCCAACGGCAACCTACTAGACAGGAATGGCAATAAAGTACGGAGGACGGCAAAGGCACCGAAGCTTCAGGCAAGTGCTCATATTCTTCCGTTTGATTCGGTCGTCAGAGCACTAACGAGAACAATCATACGCGAAGAGGACACGAGAAAGCTAACTAATGGCATTAGCAGGTGAAGTTGACACCCGGCGACGGCGAGCACTCCGCTGCGCCGGCAGGGAAGAAGGCATCAGTGATGTCACACGCGTTTGCCTATAGGATTGCGCCTGCCGCGTGGCCAGTGCGCGCACCACACAGTCCCGGCAACTCGTCAAATGTCACTCACTGCAGCTGCCGCGCGCCAGAGCTACCGGTGAATTGAGGGGAGCTAGCCAAGGTTACTGAGAGTGACACGAGAGCTACTACGTGCTTCGTGCAATTAGTGTCAGTAAGAAAGTCGTGCGGCTAAAACGACCAGCACGTACGTGCCGAGTCCGCGACGGCCGCCGGCGTCCACAAACACACGCTGACTACTGTAGATGGATGCACATACGTGTACTGGCGCAAGTGGGGGAGCATGGTGGGACTCACCGGCGCATGTCGGCCGCGCCGCGCGCCTGCCGTCGGGGCAGAGGCACCAGAACTCCTCGGCGGCGCTGTCGTACCGGCACTGCCCGCCGCTGGCATTGCAGGTCCGGCAGTCGCCGACGCCGGCCACCTCCCAGTCCAGGACGAACCCGTCCTTCAGCAGCCGGCTGTAGTTGGCCGCCGTCATGACCGCCGCCTCCGACCCGAGCACCGGCATGTAGGCGTTCTGGCATCTCCACGTCGCGATCGGCGCCGGTGGCCTGCCCCAGTAGTAGTCCCCGCCGAGGTACGCGTAGCTGGGAGTACTGCTGCAGTTGGCGGTGGCGTTCGCGTACTCGGGGCCGCTCGGGGCCGTGCTGCTGCAGTTGTAGAGGAAGCACAGGGCACGGTTCTGTGGGCTAATATTGAACAGGCTGAGCGCGATGCTGGCGGACACGTTGAAGCCGATTTTGCACACGCCGTCGTCGCCGGCGAGCTTGGCGTCCCAGGCGACGAGGGAGTTGTTGGTGTAGTCGATGCTCAGGACGTGGATGGAGGAGCCCTTCAAGGAGGCTACGCGGCCGTCGTCGCTGCACCAGACCTCGAAGGCCGGGTGACCACAGGGCGAAGGCGGCTGGCTGCTGGTGCTGCTGCCGAGCCAGAACGGGTACCTGAGAGTGAGGTTACCGCATGCCGCCGGCTCGCAGTGGGCGCTGGCGTGGTCATGGAGGAGGAGGAGGAGCAAGGAGGCCAAGAGCGGGAGGAACAGCAAGGTGGGATGCATCAAGCGCTCAAGCTATCCACTAAATTAATGGAGACGGTGCCAGCACGAGAAATAATTGAGGCGATTGGGGATCGACGATGGCATTAGCAGGATGAACAGAAGGGTGAACCGCTCACAGGCACTGGTGGTGGCTGGGCTGAGTGTAAATGGTGAAGGCGAGTCCGCGTCGTCGTGTGCGTAGAGAAGAAACTTTGGGCATTCGGGTCGGGCCGTCGTCGTCATCCACGCATAGGATATTTCCGAGGTGCCCGATCGATACCCGATGGACGTACAGTACGGGGCAAGGCGACGACTGACGTGACCGCGGGTGCGCCGCGTCCCCGGTCAAGGCACGCTCCAACGAGAGCCACCAGATGTTATACCTACGGGGAGACCGGGATGCTCTAGGTATGTTCTGACTACTAACTGTTTTTTTTATTGAAACGAATTGACTATGAGAGTCCGTACTAATTAACTCTCTTGTGTTTTTGTCCTCGCTTCTCACAAAAGGATAAAAGGATGGATCCAAAGTTAACAGCCGCCAGGTTACTTGGTTCAGCTCTTCATATCAACTTCCGATGAATTGAGCGGAGCTAGCCAAGGTTACTGAGAGTGACACGAGAGCTAGTACGTGCTTCGTGCAATTAGTGTCAGTAAGAAAGTCGTGCGGCTAAAACGACCAGCACGTACGTGCCGAGTCCGCGACGGCCGCCGGCGTCCACACACCACACGCTGACTACTGTAGAGGGAGAGGCACATACGTGTACGGAGGGCGTGGGCAAGTTGGGGAGGTGCGTGGGGGACTCACCGGCGCATGTCGGCCGCGCGCGTCTGCCGTTGGGGCAGTGGCACCAGAACTCCGCGGCGTCGCTGTCGTACCGGCACTGCCCGCCGCTGTCGTTGCAGGCTCGGCAGTCGCCGACGCCGGCCACCTCCCAGTCCAGGACGAACCCGTCCTTCAGCAGCCGGCTGTAGTTGGCCGCCGTCATCACCGCCGCCTCCGACCCGAGCACCGGCATGCAGGCGAACTCGCATCTCCACGTCGTGATCGGCGCCAGCGGCTTGTCCCAGTAGTAGGCCCCGCCGAGGTACGCGTAGATCGGAGTACTGCAGTTGGAGGTGGTGTTCACGTACTCGGGGCCGCTCGGGGCCGTGCCGTTGTTGCAGTCGTAGAGGAAGCACAGGGCACGGTTGTGTGGGGTAATATTGAACAGGCTGAGCGCGATGCTGGAGGACACGTTGAAGTTTGTCTGGCACACGCCGTCGTCGCCGGCGACCCTGGCGTCGGAGGCGACGAGGGAGCTGGCGGTGTAGTTGATGCTGAGGACGTGGATGTAGGTGCCCTTCAAGGAGGCCACGCGGCCGTCGCCGCTGCACCAGACCTCGAAGCCCGGGTGGCCACAGCTGGAAGAAGAAGGCGGATTGGTGCTGCTGCCGAGCCAGAACGGGTACCTGAGGGTGAGGTTCCCGCATGCCGCCGGCTCGCAGTCGGCGCTGGCGTGGTCATGGAGGAGGAGGAGCAAGGAGGCCAAGAGCGGGAGGAACAGCAAGGTGGGATGCATCAAGCGTTCAAGCTATCCACTGAATTAATGGAGACGGTGCCAGCACGAGAAATAATGGAGGCGATTGGGGATCGACGTAGGTGAGTGATGAGAGGAGGAGAAGGTCGAAAGAGAAATAGCAATTGTATTTGCTTGATTGACTAGTCTGCTTTCCGGTTTGTTGGACCTTTTTAATCAACAGGACAACAGGAGTAGGAAAGTCAGTGTTGTCTTATCACTGACAATTTCTATCGTTCGTCTACTGACAATTTCTATCGTTCGTCTACGAAACTTTGACCAGGGGGCATTCGGGTCGGGCCGTCGTCGTCATACACCCATAGGTAGGGATGAAAACGAATCGGATACGAACGGATATTACTCATATTATATTTGTTTTTATATTTCTGTTCGGATTCGGATTCGGACACGGATAGCGTTCGGATACATATACGAATACGGATTGACTCGGTTACGGATACGAATAATGAGTATCGAATACGGTATGAATCGGATTCGGAGAAGGTCGGATACAAATATCTATTCGGATATTGAGTAAAAGCAGCATATATATATATATATATATATCATACGTGCGCAAACCATTACACCACTCTATGAGTCCATAATCCATCTAGATTAAGCCGAAAGACTAAAGAGTAAAGCAACAAATAAGATAAAGATACAGATACATCATACATCAAACATCATACAAGCACCAATCTTCGCGGCATGAGTAGAAATAGAGAAGCTCATGGCTTCATGGGTCTCATGGAGTAATGGTCATGGATTCAAGATCTACAATTCTTATATAGGCCATTTTTTCATTTGAGAAAGTTTGAACAAAATGTAGTTCAAATTTCACAAGTGTGTGACATAGTTTTAGAAAGTCTATATGAGATTCAAGAATTTGTGACTAGTGTTTGATAAAACTTTCTCAAATGGGAAAATGAGCTATGTAACAATTGTAGATCTTGCTGAGATGATCAAACTTGGTATTCAGAGTTTTTTCATCTGAGGTCATTTAGTGTCTCATTTGAGCAAGTTTGACCAAGTCAAATTTTGTCAAATGAAAAAACAACACTTTGACTCTAGTATTATGAACTCTAACTGACTTCAAATTGAAAAGTTTTGAATACCAAGTTTGTTCAACTCATCAAGATCTACAATTCTTGTTTTGGTCAACTTTCCATTTGAGATAGTTTGGACGGTTCAAATTTGTGATTTTTAAATTTCGATGCTTACAAACTAGTTTTCGGAACCCTAGATTGTCTCAAATTGAAAAGTTTTGAATACCAAGTTTGTTAAGCTCATCAAGATCTACAATCCTTATATAGGCTATTTTTTCATTTGAGAAAGTTTGAACAAAATGTAGTTCAAATTTCACAAGTGTGTGACATAGTTTCAGAAAGTCTGAGATTTAAGAATTTGTGACTAGTGTTTGATAAAACTTTCTCAAATGGGAAAAATGAGCTATGTAACAATTGTATATCTTGCTAAGATGATCAAACTTGGTATTCAGAGTTTTTTCATCTGAGGTCATTTAGTGTCTCATTTGAGCAAGTTTGACCAAGTCAAATTTGGTCAAATGAAAAAACAACACTTTGACTCTAGTATTATGAACTCTAAATGACTTCAAATTGAAAAGTTTTGAATACCAAGTTTGTTCAACTCATCAAGATCTACAATTGTTGTTTTGGTCAACTTTCCATTTGAGATAGTTTGGACGGTTCAAATTTATGATTTTTAAATTTCGACATTTACAAACTAGTTTTCGGAACCCTAGATTGTCTCAAATTGAAAAGTTTTGAATACCAAGTTTGTTCATCTCATCAATATCTACAATCCTTATATAGGCCATTTTTTCATTTAAGAAAGTTTGAACAAAATATAGTTCAAATTTTACAAGTGTGTGACATAGTTTAAGAAGGTCTATGAGATTCAAGAATTTGTGACTAGTGTTTGATAAAACTTTCTCAAATGGGAAAATGTGCTATGTAACAATTGTAGATCTTGCTGAGATGATCAAACTTGGTATTCAGAGTTTTTTCATCTGAGGTCATTTAGTGTCTCATTTGAGCAAGTTTGACCAAGTCAAATTTGGTCAAATGAAAAAACAACACTTTGACTCTAGTATTATGAACTCTAAATGACTTCAAATTAAAAAAATTTGAATACCAAGTTTGTTCAACTCATCAAGATCTACAATTGTTGTTTTGGTCAACTTTCCATTTGAGATAGTTTGGATGGTTCAAATTTGTGATTTTTAAATTTTGACGCCTATAAACTAGTTTTCCATTTGAGAAAGTTTGGACGGTTTAAATTTTGAAGCACTAAATGATTTCAAACGAAAAAGTTGTAAACAACAAAGTTTCATAACTTTTTGAGATCTACAATTTTTATTTTGATCATTTCTCCATCCAAGGTCGTTTGAATAATATCCGTTTTTAAATATCCGGATATATCCGATACTTATCCGGATTATCCGATATCCGCCGGATATCGATGATATTACATCCGTATTTGATATCCGCTTAAGATATCCGTTTTAGTATCCGTATCCGAAAAAAATTACGGATATCCGAGTAACTATCCAGATAAGTGTTCATATTTGTTCGGTCGAACGGACGGTCGAATAAATATCCGTACCGTTTTCATCCATATGCATAGGATATTTCCGAGGTGCCCGATCGATACCCGATGGATGTACAGTACGGGGCAAGGCGACGACTTACGTGACCGCGGGTGTACCGCGCTTCCCCGGTAAAGGCACGCTCCAACGATGAATTTTTTTAATTATTTTTAACACTTTTTAAACTAATTTTAAATCTAGCACTATTTGTTTTTTTTAAACTAACACTTTTAGCCGTGCCTATTGCCATGGCGCGATGAAACGTCTGTGCCGGGCCATGCATGGTGGCCCGGCGGGAGGATGACATGGCACTTCCACGCGCCATGGCCGCTGACATGGCAGGAGCTACCGTGCCACCATGCATGGTGCGGCACTGCCACGCCCCGGCCCACGGCGCGTCTCTTCGTCAGACTGCCCATGGTCCATGGACCATGGACCGTCCAGTCTCCAGCAACGACGGCCAGCTTGCGGTAGCGTTCAAAGTTCGTCCACCAGAGAGATTGATATGGCCGGCGGCGGCGTCAAGTAGCGACATGACGATGTGTAGGTACGTGGCGACGACTGCCCAAGCGGCCGACACGTACGTACAAATAGACTACCCTTGGACGCGTCTCCATCACCATCGGGCCGGAGATATCGCGCGCACGTCGTGTCTCGCTTGAATTTTTTTTTATTTTTAACACTTTTTGTAAACTAATTTTAAATCTAACACTGTTTGTCTACCTTGCCGTAACGACGGTCTGTTCTCCGTTCAATGTACCTTTTTTTAAACTTTGTATCTCGCTTCTATGTCGTTGTACTTGTCCTATTAGATTTTATCTCTTGTTTCAATGCCGCTGCATATACTGTATCCCATCTTATCGGTTTATCGTGACTTGACATAGCACTGCGTTGCTGACTCTAGTTTCGTAGCCCTGAACTATAGGCCATGCCGCTTTGCTCTGTTATGCAAGACTGGTCATACCGTCTAATCGACAATATTTGTTCAAGACTAGTTCATGAGTCTGCAAGTTTCGGACGACAATATTTGTTCAACATAAGTTCGACATAACAAACTAAGTCACAGGAGTGTAAGGATCCCTCGGACGTCTCTGTCTCTTTGGATTTATAGGCAATACATTAGGAGTGTAGCCAACATCGGTGTGGTCGCGTTGTCGGTGCGTACAGCTCGTACCCTGCAAGTATATGATATGCACGATTACTTATAATCTTTATGATCGTTAGTTCATGGAGCCTACGTATTTAAAGAAACTACCTTTGTTACTACCTATGAGGCTCCTTGGGTAACAAGCGGGGCACCACCTAGCTGACACATGCTGATCTAGTCCTGCGGCCAATCGTCCCACTGATCGTGCTGTCTGCGGAAGCCCGGGGGGTCGTCGTCGTCGTCCTTGTCGTCCTCGCTTGCAGGGTCCTTCCCAGCGCTATGATGTGGTGGTGTACGCACTGCGGAAGTGGTACCTGTCACCGGCTGAGAAGAGCCGGCTAGTGTCCTCAAAGAGCCAGAAGGCGTGCCACCCGACCGCGTTGGGACTGCCGGTTCCACCCAAGGAGTGTCCATGCAGCTCAGCTTCTGAGCTAGCTTCCTGCAGCTCCGCTTTACCTTCTGCATAAATAGACGTTAAAGTTAGTGCATTTTTTAAACGCATATACACTAAAGAAATATTTTTGGAACGGAAAAATTTATGTTTACCTGCACAAAAGCCTCGAGAACGCCTGACCCTAGCCCTCTAGACTCGTGAAGCCGAAACGCTGCTTCGTTGGACAGCCTTAACAATTGTGTCGCCTAGGTACAGAAACGCGGTTGGACAGTTTTAGTACACATACTTAATACCAAATGGATAACAAATTGTACCATTCGAGTATCTTACCACATATCTTTGAAGCAGGGCTCTCTATAGTTGTGTGTCGTCCCTAGTGGCAACGTCGTACATATCTTCGATCACATCTTCCTCATCGTCCTCGTCAATCACCTCCTCAGTGTACGGGGGCTTGATATGTGGTCTCATAGACCTGTGAAGCCACCGTAGGTACTCGTCAAAGGTGTGCTGGTCGTGTGGGGGACCCGCATTGACCGGCTGCCGGTCCCTGTTCTGCCACAACTAGATGTACGCGTTGTGTGTCACGCGCCAATCCTTGGTCTTGTACCTCTTCCTGCAGTCATACCTGCAACAAAACGTTTGTTAGTTGTACCATACACACCTCTAAATTGTAGCTTTGTTATTAATCGATAAAGCCCTTGTGCAATTCTTGGTTGGTGGAGTAAAGCGGTGGTGGGTAGCCTGTCATTCTTCCAAACTGTCTGCAAACCCTGATGGGCAAGTGAATCTCGACCACGTGGAAGAAAATAAGAGGGACGTTGCAGCGATACTCGTCTAGCTCATCCCTAGTG